GGAGGCAGATTGCTTGTACCAGCGCCTTTTGACAGCATAGAGTGGGTTTTGCCAACCGGATTGCCACTGCCTCTGCTGTGGCTAACACCGTTTGCGCAGGCCTTTTGAATAATTTGTTGGCGTGTGGTATATGACCCGAAAGGCTTCTCTCGCGTACACTTGATGGTTAGTATCAATCAGGTGGGCGATGGTTGGGCTTGAGATCGATATATTCTCTCCTTTGCTGAGCCAGGCTGGTATGTGCTTGCATATTCTCTTCTCCAGACCACGAGTTTTTCAGTCAATATATCCCGCTCTACAGGAGCAGGTGAAAGAATAGATACATATTGATGTGGCCTGTAACGGTAGTCTGTCTTTGTCTCCCATGCGTAGAAGGGGAGAGTTTGTAAAGAATAAGCGTAAGTTTGTCGCCGGGAAGGCACTCATGACTGCTGTCCTCAGGCGTCGTCTTACCAGTTCACTTGCTGCGTCTCCTATAAAAAGCAGTCTTATGAATGGATCTTTCTTTTCGGCCTTTGCAACTGCGGCCTTTGTGACACGTTCCTTGAAGTTCCGAAGGATGAACCTTTTTGGATAACCGCTTTCATGGAGTGTGTTTTGTAGCTGCTGCAATTCTACCTCCACTATTTCAGGAGAGCAGATGCGGCGTTTTCTGTCTGCCATTCCCTGGACTAAGTTCCGTTTGAGGTTAAGGGGTACGGGTACTGCCCTGTGCAGGTTTTCTTTCTGAATATTCGGCGTTTTATTGAACCATCCTCTTGTCTGTGTAAGTGGACATCTAGGAAAACGATTTCGTTGTTCGCCTCCGTTTCCACTGTAAATGTTAGCGCCGTATTACATTTTTGGATCAGACCATCGATATTAGTGGTCTTATTTGTCAGGCAAAAGATACCATCCGCGTATCGACCATAGAACTTCAGATCATTGATAGTGTCTTTGAGCTTCGTTTCCTCGCTCTTGCCCATGAAGACATTTGCGACGAATGGTTCAAGTGGTGAGCCCACTGCCACTCCGTCTATTTGCCTGTATAGCTGGTCATTGCAGAGAAACTGTACGTTTTGTGCACAGCACGTCAGTAGCTCTTTTAGCATCTTCACTGTCATTCCTATTTGGTAGTTTGTTTCCCGTATAAAGTCGCATAGGTATTCTATGGTTTCAACTGCCGGTAGGTTGCGCATCGCAACCAACGTCCTACACGCGCTGGTGCTCGCATTCAGGCGACGAGGGAAAACCCA